GGGATATGCATAGCCCTCTGTTCAAGCCACAGCTCAGCAACACTGGATGGCAAATTCAAACGCCTTCAGGGAGATAGGTCAAGGCAAAGCGCCCATCCACCTAATTACTTTGCACTTTCAAACACTGTGTGGGGGCAAATCTGGCTTGCCTCTCCTTTACCCTGAGGCAGAGTCAGCATGACAATGTTGCCCCTTCTTCCTACCTTCTATCTTCCCTGCCTGCTCACTTCTGTCAGTTTATCATGCAATGGGGGCTTGCCTGTTGTCTGTGATGCTGGAAGCTATGCCACCAGTATTCAAATACTAGCAGGGTCACCCATGGTGGATAGGTTTCAGCTAAACTTCCAGACTAAGACTAGGAAGAAGGATCTGGTGATCTCCTTCTGAAAAGAACTAGCAAGTGAAAACCTTATGAATAGCAGCGGAACATTGTCTGATACAGAGCCGGAAGATGAGCCCCTCAGGTTAGAAGGCACTCAAAAGACGACTGGGGAAGAGCTGCCTCCTCAGAGTAGAGTCGACCTTAATGACCTGGATGGAGTCAAGCTTTCGGGACCTTCATTTGCTGATGTGGCACAACTCAAAATGAGAAGAAACAGCTGCAAACGTCCGTTAATAATCAGAATGTGGAATGTACGAAGTATGAATCTAGGAAAATTGGAAATTGTCAAAAATGAAATGGAACGCATAAACTTCAATATCCTAGGCATTAGAGAGCTGAAATGGAATGGTATTGGCCATTTTGAATCAGACAATTATATGGTGTGCTATGCTGGGAATGACAGCTTGAAGAGGAATGGCATTGCTTTCATCGTCAAAAAGAACATTTCAAGATGTATCCTGAAGTACAATGATGTCACTTATAGGATAATATCCATATGCCTACAAGGAAAAGCAGTTAATAGGAACTGTTATTCAAATATATGCACCAACCCCTAAGACCAAAGATGAAGAAATTGAAGATTTTTACCAAATTCTGCAGTCCGAAATTGATCAAACGTGCAATCAGGATGCATTGATAATTACTGGCAATTGGAATGCGAAAGTTGGAAACAAAGAAGAAGGATCTGTAGTTGGAAAATATGGCCTTGGTGATAGAAATGATGCCGGAGATAGCATGATAGAATTTTGCAAGACCAACGACTTCTTCATTGCAAATATCTTTTTTCAACAACGTAAACGGTGACTATACACGGGGACTTTGCCAGATGGAAAACACAGGAATCAAATCGACTACATCTGTGGAAGGAGAGAGAGAAAAGCTCAATATCGTCAGTCAGAACAAGGGCAGGGGCTGACTGTGGAACAGACCATCAATTGCTCATATACAAGTTTAAGCTGAAAATGAGGAAAATTAGACCAAGTTCACGAGAGCCAAAGTATGACCTAGAGTATATCCCACCTGAATTTAGAGACCATCTCAAGAATAGATTTGATGCGTTGAACACCAGTGACCGAAGACCAGACGAGTGGTAGAATGACATCAAGGACGTCATGCATGGAGAAAGCAAGAGGTCATTAAAAAAGACAGGAAATAAAAAAAGACCAAAATGGATGTCGAAATTTCCTCTTGAACATTGAGTAGCTAAAGCAAAATGAAGAAGTGATGAAGTAAAAACTGAACAGAAGATTTCAAAGGGCATCTTGAGAAGACAAAGTATTGTAATGACATGTGCAAAGACCTGGAGATAGAAAACCAAAAGGGAAGAACATGCTTGGCGTTTCTCAAGCTGAAAGAACTGAAGAAAAAATTCAAGCCTCGAGTTGCGATATTGAAGGATTTCTATGGGGAAAATATTAAGCGATGCAGGAAGCTTCAAAAGAAGATGAAAGGAATACACAGAGAATTGGTCGACATACTGAAGGAAGAGGTCCAAGCTGCACTGAAGGCAGTGAAAAAGCAAGGTGTCATGGTTTGAATTATGTCCCCCCAAAAATGTGTGTATCAGTTTGGCTAGGCCACGATTCCCAGAATTGTGTGGTTGGCCTCCATTTTGTGATTGTAATTTTATGTTGAAGAGGATTAGGGTGGAATTGTAATACCACCTTTACCAGGTCACATCCCTGATCCAGTGTAAAGGGAGTTTGCCTGGGGTGTGGCCTGCACCACCTTTTATCTCTCAAGAGATGAAAGGGAAGCAAGCAGAGAGTTGGGGACCTCATACCATCAAGAAAGCAGTGCCAGGAGCAGAGCACGTCCTTTGGACAGGGGTCCCTGTGCCGAGAAGCTCCTAGTCCAGGGGAACACTGATGAGAAGGCCGACAGAGAGAAAGAAAGACTTCCCCTGGAGCTGACACCCTGAATTTGGACTTTTAGCCTACTTTGACTGAGGAAATAAACTTCTCTTCGTTAAAACCATCCACTGGTGTTTCTGTTATAGCAGCACTAGATGACTAAGACACAAGGCTTCAGGAATTGATGGAATACCAGTTGAGATGTTCCAACAAACAGCTGCAGTGCTGCTCACTCATCTACGCCAAGAAATTTGGAAGGCAGCTACCTGGCCAACCGACTGGAAGAAATCCGTATTTATGCCTATTCCCAAGAAGGGTGATCCAACTGAATGCGGAAATTATTGAACAATATCAATAATATCCTACACAAAATTTTGCTGAAGATCATTCAAAAGCAGCTGCAGCAGTATATCGACAGGGAACTGCCAGAAATTCAAGCTGGATTCAGAAGAGGAAGTGGAGCAAGGGTTATCATTGCTGATGTTAGATGGATCCTGGCTGAAAGCAGAGGATTCAAGAAAGATGTTTTCCTGTGTTTTATTGACTATGCAGACACATTCAACTGTGTGGATCATAAGAAATTATGGATAACATTGTGAAGAATGGGAATTCCAGAAGGCTTAATTGTGCTCATGAGGAACCTGTACGTAGATGAAGAGGCGTCGTTCGAACAGAACAAGGGGATACTGTGTGGTTTAAAGTCAGGAAAGGTGTGCGTCAGGGTTGTATCCTTTCACCATCCTTATTCAATCTGTATGCTGAGCAAATAATCAGAGAAACTGGACTCTATGAAGAAGAACGGGGCATTAGGATTGGAGGAAGACTCATTAACAACCTGTGTTATGCCAGTGACACAACCTTGCTTGCTGAAAGTGAAGTGCTTACCGATGAAGATCAAAGACCACAGCCTTCACTATGGACTACACCTCAACATAAAAAAAGCGAAAATCCTCACAACTGGACCAATAAATAATATCATGATAAATGGAGGAAAGATTGAAATTGTCAAGGATTTCATTTTACTTGGATCCACAGTTAACACACATGGAAGCAGCAGTCTAGAAATCAAAAGAAGCATTGCATTGGGCAAATCAGCTGCAGAAGACCCCTTTAAAGTGTTAAAAAGCAAAGATGTCACCTTGAAGACTAAGGTGCGCCTGACCCAAGCCATGGTGTTTTCAGTTGCCTCAGATGCATGCAAAAGCTGTACAATGAATAAGGAAGACCGAAGAAGAATTGACGCCTTCGAATTGTGGTGTTGGCGAAGAATATTGAGTATACCATGGACTGCCAAAATAACAAACAAATCTGTCTTGGAAGAAGTACAACTAGAATGCTCCATAGAAGCAAGGATAGCTAGACTATGTCTCACATACTTCAGACGTGTTATCAGGAGGGATCAGTCCCTGGAGAAGGACATCGTGCTTGGTAAAGTAGAGGGTCAGTGAAAAACAGGAAGACCCTGAATGAGATGGATTGACACAGTGGCTGCAACAATGGGCTTAAGCATACCAGCGATTGTGAGGATGGCACAGGACCGAGCAGTGTTTCGTTCTGTTGTACGTAGGGTTGCTATGAGTCGGGACCGACTCAACGGCACCTAACAACAGCATCATCCCTGCAAATGAGAAACTCGCTACTGGTAGTTGAAGCTCTGGGGGCAGGAGCCGTTCTTAATTATGCTTCTTTTGTTCATCACCTACCAAAACAAGATGATGATTTTATGTGCACCCTCCCCAAACTTGGCAAGGCTGGAGTGACAAATTTTGCACTAACAGGTAGATCAGTTTCTTTTCTTCTTCCTCTCTCAATCCATCTCTAGCTGGTGTTTTCATTAACTTCCAAAAGTGTAAAGATTTATACCTTTGTTCCCAGCTGTAACCCAGGCTGGAGGATTTGACCTGCCTGGAGTTGATTTACTTGGGGCCAGGGGTGGGGAGCCAGAGAAGATGGAAACAGCTGAGACCGCTGGGAAGGACAGGGAGGACTCCAAGGTCTGAGGATGCCCCATCCTAGGCCCATCAGTTTGGTTCTGGTGTTGAGAAGCAGCTCAAGGTTGTTTATGAAACACAAGTTGTGCACCTTGGTGTCCAAGTGGAACACCGTGTGGGAGGAAGAGGCTTGGGACACAGGGCCTCTGTGGCGCTGGATTGATTTGCAATTTGGGGAGGTAGGAGAGCACCCGGGCTCAGAAGGGTGCTCTGGTGGGAGTGGTGATCCGAGCGGCTGCTCAGCCTAATGCCCTCGGGCGGGTGTTAGGCTTTCTGGCTGATTTCCTGCAAGACTGGGTGAGTATGGGAGGTGGAGGGTGGGCAGGGAGAGAACCCAACACACGCACACGCACACGCACACGCACACACACACAAAGCAAGCAAGTCGGACGATGTTCTGTTGTAATCCATAAGGTGTTTATTGATTAGTTTTTGGAAGGAGATCGCCAGACCTTTCTTCCTAGTCTGTCTTAGTCTGGAAGCTCCGCTGTAACCTGTCCACTGTGGGTGACCCTGTTGGTATTTGAAATGCCAGTGGCAATAGCTTCCAGCATCAAAATAGCACGCAAGCCACCACAGTACGGGTATATTAAATAAAGTGTAAAGCGTGAGTGATTTCCCCAAACGCACACTGTCAGACCACTGGGGTGAGGGTCGCGCGCCGCACTCCGCGGTAGTCGCCCGCGCCTGCGCACTCGACAACAGGCCGCGTCGCTGTTGGAGAGGACCTGCCCGGCCGCCCGCGCCTGCGCACTCGGCGCCGGGGAGGGGGCCTACCATCCGCGGGGCGGCCGGCTCTCCCTGTACACGGTCCCACCCAGAAGTAACCTCTTCAAGCTCCCGGGCTCGGGTCGCCGGTGCCTTTCCGATCCCGGGCGGGGAGTGCCGCGGCAGGTGCGTGGGCGCGGGCGCTGGGCCGCGGGGGTGAAGCCCCCTGTCCGGGCAGAGGGCGGAGGAAGGGCTACCCGGGGCCGCGCTGAGGCGGGGGCTGCGCGCCGTCCCCCGGGGGCGCTGGCCGGGCGGCCCGCGGGCGAAGCGGACAGCCTGGTCTGAGGAGGCGGATGGGGCAGTTCTCTTCCCCGCTTCGCAGACGAGGACGCTGGGGGGAGCCGCCCGGGTCTGGTGGAGCTGCTGTTACCCTCACTGTGTAGACAGGAGACCAGGGCACTCGGAGGCCAAGTCACTTGCGCACCGTCACAGCTGGTAGGTAGCAGAGCCAGGATTGAACCCAGATGGACTTAACCCAGTATGGAAGACAGCCTCTCAGAGAAGAGCGAACGGTTCTTCTGCTGTGTCATTTGAAACAGGTCTCATTTTATGTCACTTTTCATAACATGAAATCTAATGGTGCATGATTATGATTTAAAACAGCCGCATATGTTTTGTAAGTAGCCAAATTTGCACGTGGGACAAAACCCAAAAATGGATAGTGGTTTGCTTTACTCTGTGTCTTCAACACTCCTCTTTTCCCATCCTTTTCCTCACTACCTTTCAATCCCGTGGTCACAGGTAGGTGGGGGAGATGGAGTTAGAGCTCTCCGTAAGGCCCTGGAGTGGGGCAAGCACAAGAGAAATAGAAGGGTGGCCTTATTTCTGGGAAAAGAATCTGAGCACGTACACATGTGGGAAGGACTGAAGAGAGCCCTGAGAAGGTCTCTCATTTATCCAGCAAACTGACCTGTGGGTGCTGAAGCACTTCTCAGAGGCACTCCCCGTCCCAGGCTAGCACTGTTAGGGAATCATGCAGCCCGCAGGTTGCTGCCTCCACAAATACACGGCTTCCACTTGGGAATCAAGAGGCTCTTGGGCATAAGCTGCCTCAATTCCTGCCCCCACCCGTCCTTACTTCTTTTCTATATCAGAAAAAATAAATATTCTTTCTCATCTCCAAGGCTAATCCCACCTACCATCTGCCCCGGATTCCTTTCTCTCAGGAAGCTTGTGCCATCCCTTCCCTTCTCTCTTCTGTATTTTTATCTTCGCCCTCTTCCCGTTGCACCTTTTCTCCGTTTAGAGACATGTTAGGTGCCGTTGAGTTGATTGGACTCATAGCAACCCCATGTGACAGAGTAGAACTGCCCCATCGGGTTTTCTAGGCTGTAATCTTTACGGACGCAGATTGCCAGGCCTTTCTCAGAGCCACTGGGTGGGTTCAAATCACCAACCTTTCAGTTAGCAGGTGAGCACTTAACCACTGTGCCACCAGAGATGTAACCAAGCCGTTTCCCTCCCATCCCAAAGAATGAACCCTTCCTTCCTCATCCCACTCTGCCATTCTAAGTCTCTGCTTCCCCCACACTTCTCGCTCCACAGCCCCAGGTGCCACCTTCTTCATCCCCTGAAATGACGTCTGACTCTGTTGAACACTCCGTTCTGGAAAATCTTATCCTTGGAATTCCCTAACATCACTTCCTTTTGGTTTTTCTGTGTGTCTTCCCTTTGCTTCTCAGTCATCTTTGAGGTCTGCTCATTCTCTTTTTGTTAGCTGCCGTTGAGTGGGCCCCAGACTACAGTCTGAAACACTGCCCGATCCTGCACCGTCCCCATGATCGGTTTCGGATCGGACCGTTGTAATCCATAGAGTTTTCATTGGCTAATTTTTGGAAGTAGATCGTCAGTGCTGGATTACATGTTGCTATGATGTCACTGTGAGTTGGAATCGACCCAATGGCAGTGGGTTTGACTTTTTGGGGGGTAGGATGCTGAACAGCTTTCAGTGGAGCTTCCAGACTGAGATGGTCTAAGAAGAAAGGCCTGGCTTGTCGTCTGCCCTGCTCATGTCGTCTGTGTAGCCACCTTCTGCTGTCTTCTCACTCTGCGTGTTTTTCCTCAGTTTCTGTGCGGACTTTTATGTGGATCTGTACCTTTAGCCAGAACTCTCTCCGCTCACCCATATGTCTCACTGTTAAGTCTGCACTTGAAGATTTGTCCCAGAAGAACCTTAAACTCAGGTATCTAAAATTGAACTATATTAATAAATGTATCCCTTCTTCCTCCTTCACGTCTCAATTCAAGCCTGATCTACCTCTGGCTCTCTAAACTGTCTCCTCCACTCCACTCCTGCTGCCATTTCCCTCCCCGGGTCCTCTGAGACTTTCCAGATTGCTGCTAGTGTAATCTTCCCAGTGTGCAGCCTAAAAAGGCCATCCCGTAGCTTAAGAATCCTTGAAGTCTTCGTCTTGTCATAGTTGTCCTCGACTGTGGGTTTGTGATCTGCTGTGAGATGTGTCACCAGTAGCTTATTACTGTTAATAATCAAAGTATTGACGTTTGTGGATGGTTCACTTTTCAAAAACTTACATTTTAGAGCATGTGCAAGGTTAACTCCGGACAGCATCAGCCTCACGGTGTCACCCTTATTCTGATGTGCCGCTACCAGTGACTGCCCAAGATCCAGGATCCACCCAAGTTAGTCTGTCAGGAGTTCGGATCCTAAAGTGATAGCCTAAGGTAAACAGTGCCTTACAAAATGAAACCTGAACTCTTTAACTTGATGCATGCTATTGATCTTTAAATCAGCCTGAGGCCCCACTCCTCCGGGAGGCCCTCCCAGCTTCCAGTAGCACCTTATGCCACATACTTTGCTGCATTGTGATGTGCCCATTTACAAGTTCTTCTCTCCGCCTGAGTTGGGGCAGCAGGGCAGTTACTCTATTGTATTTGTGTCTTTAGGGCACAGTGCCTGTCTCATAGTAGAGATTTGGTGAATTTTTGTTAAATAATTGAATGGACATCATGCTTGGGTAAAGTAGAGGGTCAGCGAAAAAGAGGAAGACCCTCCATGAGATGGACTGACACAGTGGCTGCAACACTGGGCGCGAGCGTAACAGCAGTTGTGAGGATGGCGCAGGACGGGCAGGGTTTCGTTCCGTTGTACTTAGGGTTGCTGTGAGTTGGAACTGACTCGATGGCACCTAACAACAGTAACAACTGAATAGATGTTCTGGTTCTTTCTTCTCTGCCTGTCCCTTAAATGAGAATGTTTGCAGAAAACAGAATTACTGGTTAATTGGAGAACAGCACAGGATTGGTGCCTTGGGGTAAGGCTAGTAGGTCGAGTTGAAGATTCTGGGGTGTGACCGAGGCCATAGGCCTAGCAGGCAGGTTCTCCTTTTTCTCTACCATTGTCAGTAAGGGCATTACAGGGATGGGCCTAATTTTTATGCCCTATTCTACGTCCTCACTGTTAATGGTGAAGTGACAAACTGCTGCTGGAGACCTGGTTTGAGTTCTGGTCTCTATTCTGCCACTAACAGTCGTTTACCATTCTGGGCTTTCATTCCTTCAGTCATAAAATAAGAGCTGAGGTAAGTCCTCCACTTCTAATATCCTCTCTCCCCTCAAGCAGTTCTTCCAGCGCAAGGCTATACCTTCCGTTTCATTTGCACCTTTACCAGCCCCACCACAAGTTCACTTCATGTGCTTTGCATGCTTCATACGTTTAATCTTGTCACTGGGTGACTTTTAGAGAGATGGGCTTGAATTGATCACTTCTTGATCCTTTCGACAGTCTTGTGGCTGGAAGGAACTTCTCACTATCATATCGGCCATTCACAGTCTCCCTTGAACCACTTCAGCCAGCTTATCATCAATTAAGGGTGATCCTTCTTCATGTAAACGTCACTCAGTGTCAGAATGTACCAGTTTTAAATCTTAATCTTCCTATTTAATCTACTTCTCATTCAAGTCTGAAGGATGGAGACTAGTTAACTTTTAGATATTTATGGCAGAATCATTAAGTCACTTTCCTTAGAGTCTTCTCTTTCCTGAGGAGACAAATCCCGGTTAGTTCACTGGGCGTTTCCTTCCCCATCACTCTCTTTTCTTCTCCCCACCTGTTTCTGTTCTGTTGTCTTCGTGCCTCTTGCCCTTTCAGAGCCCTAAACTTGACCTAATCTCCAGGAAAGTAAATGAGGGGAAAAGGAATTAAGGATTATTCCTAGGGTTTTGACCTGAGATTCTGGGTGGATGGAGGTGCCATTTACTGAGATTGACTTGACTGTAGGAAGAGCAGGTGAAGGGGAAGCTTAGAAATAGTTCTGAGCTAGAGAGAGAGAGACTTGGAAGTAGTCACTATGTACATGATATTTCAGATCATGGGAGAAAATGAAATCATTCTGGGAAATTGTGTAGAATGAAAGAAGAGGGCATGTGAAGGAACACTGAGAAATGTCATCTTTTAAGGGACAGGCAGTGGAAGAAGGAACCTGAAGAGGAGTCAGAGAGGTAAGAGAAAAAGCAAGAAAATGTGGTGTCCCAGGAACCAAGGGAAAACAGCATTTCAGCCAGAGGGAGTAGTCATGTGCTTCAGGTGTTACAGAAAAGTCCCTTTGAATTACTGACAAGGAGGTCGTTGGAGACTGTGGCAAGAGCAGTGTCAGTGGAGTGCCGGGGGCCGAGGGCGTATAGGACTAGGCTAAGACGTGAATGGGAGGTGAGAAAGTATAAACAGCCTTCCTCTGTGAAAGAGGAAGAGTGAGAGGATACTGGAAGGGCCCCGAGGACACTGGGAGGAGGGAGCCGCCCCATCCTGCATTCTCTGAACCAAAAAAACAAACCAAGTCCGTTGCCGTCAAGTCGATCCCAACTCATAGCAACCCTATAGGGCAGAACAGAAGTGCCCTGTAGGGTTTCCAAGGAGCGGCTGGTGGATTCGAACTGCCAACTTTTGGTTAGTAGCTGAGCTCTTAACTACTGTGCCACCAGGGCTGCACAGTCTCTGAAGGGGGTTGGATTTCAAATGATCCGAGCAGGAACTTTGGCTTAGGAAACCTTAGGATGCATTAGTCAGGGAATTGTAAGCGCTATTACATATTTATTGTGCCCCTGCTAGAAACCCTGGTGGCGTAATGGTTAAGAGCTATGGCTGCTAACCAAAAGGTTGGCAGTTCGAATCCACCAGGTGCTCCTTGGACACTCTATGGGGCAGTTCTACTCTGTCCTGTAGGGTTGCTATGAGTCAGAATCGACTCATCGTCAATGGGTTTGGTTTACTGGGTGCTGGCTACAATCCTGGGTACTTAGGATACAAAGGTCAATAAGCTGTATTCCCCCCCGTCCAGTGCTTACAGCCAGCCAGCTCTGACATCCCTTCCAGGGAAACCTTCGTGACTTCTTAGCTAGCTAGATGAGTCTTACAGTACCACGTGCCTCTCCTACATACCACTTCCCATGGCTCTAATTGCACGTTTTGTGAGTGTGAATCTTTTATTCACATGTCTGTTCCTACAGTCTATGCAAGCCATGCAAAGTCAGGGACCTTACATATTTTATACTGTACCCACAACACCACAATTGTTGAGTGCCTACTAGGTTCTTAACAAATATTGAAATAAAAAAGAAAAATTAGTTTGGCAAAGGAAATGGACACAGAATCTGCTACCTGTGCAGAGGGCTGTGGGGATTCCAGTGAGAGAGGGCCCCATTCGGACTGAAAGACAGGCTTCACCAAGGAGACTGTGATCTTGAGAGTTTTGTCCTGGGGCTAGCTTCAGTCTGTCTTGCAGTTTCTTCTTACAGCCTGTCTGCTTTCCACTTTCTCTTTCCCATCTGAGCCACTCCCCCTCCTCAGTGTTGCCCTCGGTTGAGTAGCTGAGAGTCATTCTTTCCGTTTTGCTTTGCAGCCTGGGCTCAGATTCTCATTTTCCCAAGTACACAAACATATTGAAATAGAAAAAGTAAAAAAGCCCCCCCAAGAAACAGACAATCTTAGGATCAGTGGGGCTGGAGCTCTGTGTGTCTGTTGACTCTTCCACGCCCAGACCCAAGAGCCCACCTGCTACCCTTGCTTCTTCCTTCCCTGAATTCCACACCAGAGCTGTTAACACCCCTTGTGGACTTGACTGGGGTGCCAGGGAGGTCATGCCAGAGACTGAGGTCAAACTTGAGTTTGTAGACAAAGAAGAGAAGGCAGTTAGTGGCCACAGGAGGAAGACAAGACCCTCCAGTGCCCAAAAGGAGAGTGAAAGGGATCTGTCCTTACAAAAGAGCAGCCCCTGCCCCCCCCCCACCTCCAGTTGCAAGTCAGTCCCTTTGCCTGATCTGGACCATGTTTTCCTGAAAAAGCAAGAAGGAGATGCCCTCAACCTACCTGCCTGCAGCAGGAAGAGAAAAGCCACCTCCCTGGGGAGGCTTGATCTTCTCGCAGCTGCCTCCCATGCAAAGTGTTAAGGCAGCCCTCAGCAAAACAAATTAAAGGGAGGCTCTCAGTCAATTGGCATAATATAGTATATAAAGAAAATGCTCTATATCCAACGGTGGTGAGTAGCATCTGGGGTCTTAAAAGCCTGTGACTGGCCATCTAAGGTACATCTACTGGTTCCTTCCTGGCTGGAGCAAAGGATGATAAAGAAAACCAAAGAAGAAACAAGGGAAAGATTAGTCCACAGCTACCACAACCTCCACCAGACTGAGCCTAGAACAACTAGATGGTGCCTGGTTACCACCACTGACTACTCTGGCAGGGATCACAGTAGAGGGTCCCGGACAGAGCTGGAGAAAAATGTAGAACAAAATTCAAATTCACACACACAAAAAAAGACAAGTCTTGCTGGTCTGACAGAGACTGGAGAAACCCCGAGAGTATGGCACCCGGACACCCTTTTAACTCAACACTGAAGTCACTCCTGACGTTCACCCTTCAGCCAAAGATTAGACAGGTCTATAGGGCCACCAATAACACGTGAGAAACGTGCTTCATAGTTCAGTCATGTATAGGAGACTAATGGGCACACCAGCCCAAAAGCAAAGACGAGAAGGCCAGAAGGGACAGGAAGACTGGACGAATGGAAACAGGGAAACGGGTGGAAAAGGGGAGAGTATTGACACATCATGGGGTTCACAACCAGTGTCACAAAACAATTTGTGTATTAACTGTTTAATGAGAAACTAATTTGCTCTGTAAACTTTCACCTAAAGCACAATTTAAAAAAGGGGAGACTCAGGTCCATGGTCTCAAACGTGTGCCTGGGCAAGAGTATGTCTGTATGCAGCATGAAGAGAAGAGGGGGTGTGGGCAGAGAGCGGAGGGGGAGCGGTCAGGAAAGAGGTCAGGCAACTGTCCTTCAGCCCTGGCCAAGACTCTGTATCCCAGTTCTGCTCCAGACCCTCCCCCAACACCCAGGTGACCAGTCCTGACAAATTTAGGGTAAACCACTTCAGTGAGAATGAGGAGGAAACGCAAGTTGACACCCTCATAGCCCATCTCGCCAGAGGGGTGAGACCTCTCAAGAAGGGGAAGAAAAAGCATCTGCCTCCTGGCGTGGCGGAGAGGTCGACACTGCAGCTGAGCCTCCAGGAGCCACCCGGTTTGAAAAAGTGGGTCAGAACTATGAAGCCAAAGACCAAGGGTTTGGATTCTCCCTGGCGTGCCCTGGGCTCTCTGGACGTCACGGGTCAGAAGCCCACATCAGATGGCTGACAGTTCTTTACCGCTGACCACAAAAACACCTGCCATGTCATTTGCACCCTGTGTCACGCCAGTGTCAGGCAGAGCAAAATAAGGGAGCAGTTCCAAACCTCATGCCTTGTCCGTCACTTGACAAGTGAGCATGGGCTGGAAGTGGGAGAGGATGCAAACTCCAGCCAGCCAAAGGAAGAAGGTGAAATGGGCAGGGGAGAAAAAGCAGAAGGGTTCACCTGCAGTCCTACTGCCTGGCCCCTGGAGGGCTTCTGTCACCAAGACCCTGCCCAGACACCTTACTGTTTGCAGGCAGTGGTGGGAGCTGGCCCTGGGCAGGCCTGAGCAGCTGTTTCTGGTTCTCCCACCCCTGCCTAGTCCCACCACAGGCAAATGGACTGTTCCCCCTGTGGGAGTTAGTGAGGCCATAGGTCGTATATATCCCCAGTCAACTCTGCACACAGGCCTGGAACCAGGGCGTTGCAGAATTGCTCCGTAACCTGGGCTTGCCACCCTTCAGAAGATTTATGGCCCAGGTTGACCTTTGCTACCATCTCCCCGACACCAGCCTTTTTCTTGGACCAGGCCTTACCTCTCCTTCATGAAGCTGGATGTGCAAGTTCTGCAGGAGATGCAGTGGGCTGAAGGGAGTTCACCACACATGTGTCGTTCCAGGACTCAGTTGGAGACTGCATGGGGATCACTGCCCACTGTGGGGCAATCAAGCTACGTAGCAGGCAGCTGGCAGTGGGGAGCCTGAGGAAGCGAGCAGTCTGGTCCGAGGCCTACCCCTGGGGGAAGGTCCGGAGGACAAGCAGCAGGAGCTGGTGGAAGGTGTGAATCTGTGGCTCAGCTGCAGCTTCCTGAGGCCAGGTTTCCAACCTGGAGTGGGCAGTGAAGAGAAAGAGCTGTATCCACATCCCTTGTTTTGCCCACTGCTTTGACTCCCTGATAAAAAAAACTTTTACCGTCACAGTGCCCAGATCATCCTGGGCACAGCGAAGGCTCTCTGTTGCCATTTCTAAGGCTCTGCAGATGCCCAGAGGCTCCTCACCGAGCTACAGCAGCAGTGTGGCCTCCCCACCCAACAGCCCTTTCAGGAAGTCACAGCCCATTGGCTCTCAGCCTACCACCTGATGGAGTGGCTGGCGGAGCAGCAGCAGTGTGGCCTCCCCACCCAACAGCCCTTTCAGGAGGTCACAGCCCATTGGATCTCAGCCTACCACCTGATGGAGTGGCTGGCGGAGCAGCAGCAGCCACTTCAAGAGTATGAGGAAAAACACCAGCCGGGGGAAGGACGGGACAGCCTTGTCTTCTAGGTTCTGGATTCTGACAACCTGATGAGTTCTTCTACCTGGAGGAGTTCGTGTTGGCTACCTTACTGGGTTCTCATTTCAAGGGGAAGATTGAGGCTGTCCTGCCCATTCATCGCTGGAAGCAAGTATTAGTGTACCAGGTAAAGGAGATTGTGGTATCTGCATCCTGTATGCCTGCCTTGACCTCCTTGCATCCCCAGAACACGCAGAGCCCCAAGGAAATCTCTGTGGTTGCAGCCCTGAGTGATGGACTAGACAAGCCCCAGGACTAAGGGGAAGAGTCAGAGGGAACCTGTGCAGAGAAGAAGCTCTGGGTCTTTCCCACTAGTCCAGAAGAAGTGCCTGTTGGAATACCTGGAGAGTGGGGCTGCTGGTGTCCGAGAGGAGTCATGCCTCGCTCCCTTCTGAGACCAACCTGGCTGAACATCATAGTCAGGAAGTACCTGTGGGACAGTGAGATAGCTGGAGCCCAGGCGGACCCCCTGGCTTACTGGGAGAGGAAGCGTGAAGTCTGGCCAGCCCTAGTGAGACTGGCCATCTTCTGTCTGTCTCGCCCACCCATGGGAGCCTTCTCTGAAAGTGTCTTTGCCTCCCTGAACAGCCCCACCATTGCAGAACGAAACTCTCCTCTCAAAGTAGAGACCATTGAGCACCTTCTCTTCTTAAAGACCGACTTGGAGAATTCCCCCAGCTATACCCCACCTCCCCTTACCTTCTCCAGCAGTGCCCTGGCTGAGGAGGAGAAGCTTGCCAATTAGTGTGTGAGTCTGCATGGGGTGGGGAGGTGGCGGTGATCCTCTCCGTGGATTCCTGGAATCTCAGGTACGGCTAACAGTCTGGTGCCCTAAAAATCTAACCTTGGAAACTCTGCAGTAGATGAAAGTAGGGAGCAGAGTGTTGCAGGCTGGAATATGAGACAGGGACAGCCAGAATCTTAAACCCAATGAATCAGTAAGAATGGGGACATTTTCTCAATGCTTGACAAATTGCCATATTTTTTTTTCAGGGAGACGTTATTTTCCATTAACCCATTATTTAATTTCTAGCTTTTTGGGTGTAGAAAAGGTTTACTTTGTTCGTAAGTGACTGTAAATGTATTATATGGTTTTATAAGCTCTACTGAAGGATTAGTGGGTTTCTGGGACCAGTATAAGGGCCCTGCATACAACTTGTCCATGCATATAAAAGGGATACATGCTCTTAAGAGGCTTGCTTTCTTGAAAAGTGGCCAGGGGCAGGGAGAGGCAAGGGTGCTTGCAGGAAGGAATATATCCTCAGCAACCTAGAGCCTGAATAAGCTGTTGAAGCTCTTTCAGAAATTGCTTTTACTATAAAAAGAAAAAGAGGACTAAGGTGCGCCTGACCCAAGCCATGGTATTTTCAGTCGCTTCATATGCATGCGAAAGCTGGACGATGAATAAGGAAGACCGAAGAAGAATTGACGCCTTTGAATTATGGTGTTGGTGAAGAATATTGAATATACTAGAAGAACAAACAAATCTGTCTTGGAAGAAGTACAGCCAGAATGCTCATTAGAAGCAAGGATGGTGAGACTTTGTCTCACGTACTTTGGACATGTTATCAGGAGGGACCAGTCCTTGGAGAAGGACATCATGCTTGGTAAAGTAGAGGGCCAGCAAAAGCGAAGAAGACCCTCAACAAAATGGATTGACACAGTGGCTGTAACAATGGGCTCAAGCATAGCAATGGTTGTGAGGACGGCACAGGACCAAGTGGTGTTTCGTTCTGTTGTACGCAGGGTTGCTGTGAGTCAGGGCCGACTGGACGGCACCTAACAACAGTAAAAAGAAAGAACCCCAAGGCAGGTTAACCAGTTTAAGAGGGAAGTGCGCGCACACGCACACACACACACGCGCGCGCACACACACACACGTCTTAGGATCTGTACTTGCCCGCGGGTCCCAAAGTGGCCAGAGACCTCCAATTGATGGCACTTGGCAGCTAGCGAGGGAGTATGAATTGAGAGGTGAGATACTCGTCTTCAAAATGTCATTCTTACAAGTAGTTTGTTTCCAGACTAATGGAAACCCTGGGGTTTCCTTTCCAGAGTGAAAGCAATGTCAGAAGGAGCTTCAGTAGCTTACCCAAGCTCTAGGTTGCTTGTCCCTGCCCACTTTTTAAAGGGCAAGTTCTTTCTTTGGAAGAGGGAACCTGCTAGTAACAGATTGGAGCCCTGGTGGTACCGTGGTTAAGACCTAGGCTGTTAATCAAAAGGTTGGCGGTTAGAATCTACCAGCCACTCCTTGGAAACTGTATGGGGCAGTTCTACTCTGTCCTGTAGAGTCACTCTGAGTTGGAATTGACTCAGCAGCAATGGGTAGTAACAGATTGCTCAGAGTTCCTTTAATGCAGAAAACAGGACCTGAGGGTGGGGGACCCAGGAACTGTGAGATTAGATAGGGAAAAGAAGAAAGGGGGAAGGCCAGGAAGCTGACCTGTCACCCTGCTCCAGGGCTACTCTTGGTGGCCTGAGGGTGCTTGGTCCCTGGAAGAGGTGCTGATGAGAGAAGGTGGTTGTAGGTAGGGTGAGACATTCCAGGCCTGGTTGGCCATTTGGCCCCTCCCTGGACTGACAGGAGCCCTGGTGGTGCAGTGGTTAAGAGTTTGGCTGTTAACCAAAGGTTGGCCATTTGAATCCACCAGCCGCTCCTTGGAAACCCTATGGGGCAGTTCTGCTCTGTCCTATAGGGTCGCTATGAGTTGGAATTGACTTGACAGCAATGGTTTGGGTTTTTTTTGGACTGACAGAACCCGGTGGGTCAGACAGCCCTAGAGGCCTGTCCCCTGGCAGCTCCTGGAGGGGTTGTCAGCCACCCTGTGACTAATTCTTCTAAGGCATTCAGAAGTCACTGAAAATGTAAAGAAGCAGGATAAATTAACATTAATCATAATCCTTTCACTCAGAGATAGTCTCTGATAGTCCTTTGCCATATTTTCTTATTTTTTACATTGAGATCATACCATACATGCTATTTATTTAGTACGCTGTGTTTTCATTTTAACAGTAGAACAATTGCATCTTACATTATTAAACAAACCTTTGTAAACATCATATTTAATGGCTGGAATAGCATGATTTGATTTAGTCTGGCCTCCAGATTGCTTAGATCACATTTCCTCTGCCTGCATCTGTTAGGAGCGGGTGTGTATGGGGCAGAGGAAATGCATTCATAGGCTCACCTGTGAGAGGAAGTGAGGCTTGTTTGGGGGAAGGGGCCCTAAAACTCCACCTCCTTAATGTCCCCTACTCTGAATCAAGTGCATTTATATCCATAAGGATAAGGCATGTCCCTAGACCTCTTTCCCACCCCCTTTCCCCAAATTATAAGTGGTTCTTAGACTTTAGTGAGAATCACTTGAGAGTGTCTTAAAAATGTGGATTTCTGTATTTCACCGCAGAGTCTAGGGTGGGATCCAGGAATCTGATGCCCCTAATGTTGCCTCGGCTGCTAACCAAAAGGTCAGCAGTTTGAATCTACCAGCTGGTCCTTTGAAACCATATGGGGCAGTTCTACTCTGTCCTATAAGGTTGCTGTAAGGTCTCTATGAGTTGGAAGCGACTTGACGGCAATGGGTTTGTTTTTTTTTTCCCTGTTTCCATTCATCTGGTTTCTCTGCCCTTTCCTGCCTTCTCATCTTTGCTTTTGGGCAGTGTTGCCCTTTTGGTCTCATATAAATGATTGTTGTAAGGAGCATATTCCTCAGGGTTGTTATTGCTTATCTTATAGGCTGTCTATTATTATTATTACTATTTTAATGTTGCCTTAAAAAAACCAAAACCAAACCTGTTGATGTTGAGTCAGTTCTGACTCATGGCAACCTCATGTGTTCCAGAGTAGAACTCTCCATAGAGTTTTCCTGGTTGTGATCCTTTCGGAAACAGATTACCAGGCCTTTCTTCCATAGCATCACTGGGTGGGTTTGAACCTCCAACCTTTAGGTTAGTAGTCAAGTGCAAACTGTTTATGCCACCCAGGGACCTAAAGTTGCCTTGTGGAGGCATATTGGTCTACACCACCATTGCTGTAGCTTTTGTCCCGTTGTTGTTAAGGTATCACTAAAGCTACTCCCCAGTGGAGGGGACGGGCGGCCTGGAGTGATGGGGCTCCCAGGCTGGGGGGAGCATTGAGGAAGGCAGTGGGTAAGAGAAGCTGATGTCTTCTCAGACTCTTGGAGGTACTGCTGGGGGTTTGGGCTGTAGGTCAGTTGTTGTAAACTGGGGGCAGTTTTGCCCCCCAAGGAGATATGTCAATGTCAGACATTTTTGGTTGTTACAGCTTAGAGGGGGATTGCTACTGTCATCTAGTAGTTGGGGACCAGGGATGCTGCTAAATATCCTCCAGTGCATAGGAGAGCCTCCCACAACAAAAAATTACCCAGCATAAAACGTCAGTAACAGTGTTTTAGGCTGGGTTCTCTAGAGAAGTTAAGAGCTTGGCTGCTAACCAAAAGGTCAGCAGTTCAAATCCACCACCCACTCCTTGGAAACCCTATGCGCCGGTTCCACTCCGTCCTATAGGATCACTATGAGTCGGAATTGACTTGACGGCAGTGGGTTTGGTTTGGTTTTGGTTTTATATATAAAGGAAATGGCTTATGCAATTGTAGAGGCTGGAAAGTCCCAAGTTCATGGGTCAGGCTGGAAGTTTCTCCTGACTCACGTAACCCACGAAAAAGAAAAAAAACACCAAAAACCAAACCCACTGCAGTCGAGTCAATTCTGACTCATAGCAACCTTATAGGACAGAGTAGAGCTGCCCCCACAGAGTTTCCAAGGAGTGCCTGGTGGATTTGAACTACCGACCTTTTGGTTAGCAGCTGTAGCTCTTAACCACTATGCCACCAGGGTTTCCCACGTAACCCACAAGTGCTGGTGAATCAAAGATCAGAAGCTTAGATAGGAGGCCTCTGGCTCACAGGCTGTGGAGGCCAAAGAATCCCAAGATCGGCAGGTAAGACGGCAGGTAAGCTGCTAGCTCGAGTCCGAAGAACTGGAGGTCAGATGAAAAGGAGCCAGCTGCAGGATCCAGAGCAAGCAAAAGCCCATGAGCCTTGCCAGAAAGTCCACCTATATTGGATGCAGGCCACACCCCCAAGGAACAGATCCCATCATGGAGGTGATCACATTATATCAGATCTCACTGTGGAAGTGATTAAAGCATTAAAAAGCTGGCAGACTACATCATAACTGCCAAACTGCTGAGGACCATGGCTCAGCCAAGTTGACACAGAACTTCAACCATCCAGAGGTTGAGAAACGATGTTCTTGAGACTTAGGGGAGGGGATAGGGTGGAAGAAGAGTCCCAATATTTGCTCATGACTGCCCACATAAGGCTGCTCTGGATTGAACTGTTGCTCACTGTAAACTTGGCTCCTCTCTGCTCCTGACTGACTTCTGGACATCATTTTCTGGCCTCATATCCTAGTTAGATAAGCTGAGACTCAACAAGAGACTTTGTCTTCCCCTGTTGAGGGTCAGCCTTCCTTAGAATGAGACCCATTTGTCAACTGCATCCTAAGTCAGAGTCATCCATAACTAAGTCCTTTTCATAAACTTGCTTGTTGGAGGAAGAGGTCTCTGTTCACTCCATCTCCATAGTTAGGGAGAGGATTATTCTGATTGTATGTTGTTGTTGTTAGCTGCCGTCAGGTTGGCCCCTGACTCATGGCAACGCCATGCACAAGTTTGGACCATTGTGATCCATAGAGTTTTCATTGGCTGAGTTTTTTGGAAGTCAGTTGCTAGGCCTTTCTTCGTTGTCTCTCTCATTCTGGAAGCTCCGCTGAAACCTGTTCGGCATCATAGCAACACGCAGGCCTCCACTGACAGATGGGTGTTGGTTGTGTATGAGGTGCATTGGCTGGGAATCGAACCTGGGTGTCCAACATGGAAGGTGATAATTCTTCCCTGAGCCACCACTGCCCCACTGGTACACAGCATGACCTCCATACCATTCATTGGGTTGGCGTCAGGCTGTCCTCAGTCCTGCCCAGAACTGCCTTGTTGAGGGTCCAGATTTGAGGGAAGATCTGCGTCTCTGAGCAGAGTAGAGTCGTTGGCCCATGTGAGGAGCAGAGTTTTTCCTTGACCACCCAGTGCTGGCCAGTCTGCTGGCCAGTCATAGGTCCCCCGCCCGGTGGGACTTCAGGGCATGGAAGTGACCTTTTAGCTCCACACCTCCTGCTGTAAAGTCACATTGTTCCTCCCAGCTTTGACTTGGAGCGCACATGCTACCCAATTCCTCTCGCGTGTCTCCTGTCTACCCAGCTCCCTGTCCTCTCCCGTCTCTGGCCTTCATCTCCCTCTAAAAAGTCACTGGCCCAGGTCCTCACATCATTCCTTCATTCACTGCCTGAGTCTGTTCCGTGGGTGCCGTTCACGCCTCGTCTTGTTTGAGTTCAGTGGGCCTTTACCACCGTGTCAATGCTTCTCCTCCCTCTCATTGCTCATCAGTATCCTTCCCAGACACGTCTTCAGCCTCATAAACATTGGTGTTCTCCAGAGTTCTGCCCTTGGTTTCTGCTTCTTTTCACTGTACACAAGGGGTTCTTAGCAACTTTCACCCCAGAATAGTGTGCGAGTGGGGAGGGTAGGTATTTTCCTGGAGTGGGGCCTACAAATAAAGAGGTCTGTGTCCCAAAACAGGCTGACCCTGTGCTGCCCGTTCACCCTGGGCAGCACCGTGTTCTCCTGCTTCCAGACACCACCACATGCTGACAGTTGCTGCGTCTCTTCAGCCTAGAGCACCAACCGCCTCCTAAAACATGTTACATAGTTGCCTCAGACTCAGTACTTGGCAGGTGGATGTCCCCCTCCACCTCCCCACTGCCCTTGTTGGGGTCCTTATCTCTTGTTTGTCCCTGGCGCCCCTGCCTGCATCCTCCACTCTTATCAGCAGACCAAAACCCCATTGCAGTCGAGTCGATTTCAGCTCATAGCGACCCTACAGGACAGAGTAGACCTGCCCCATAGGGTGTCCAAGGAGCGGCCATAGCTCACCATAACTCAACCACTGCGCCTCCAGGGCTCCCTGTCGGCAGAGCGATCATAATCAGATAAAAGCTAGTGGCACCACTTTCCTACTTAAGAACCCCAGCAGATCCCCACTCACCTAGGATGATCCAGATATTTTAGTAGATGCTTCAGATCCTTTTGGAAAGAAATGTACAAATTTTTAAAATGAGCTGGAGTGTTGCACACCAGAAGTGGGGCTAGGTGAAGAAGCGGAGATCATGAAGACAGGGACCCCCTTCTGGGAGGTGGGTGGAGAGAGGAGGAACTTAAAGGTGGGAAGGGACAGCCGTCCCACCCAGCCCCAGTGGTGGGGAGCTCTTTAAATAGTGCTTGTTGGTGGGTGTGGGAGGAGCTTGGTGATGGCTCTGGGCCTGGTTTCCTTGGAGAGGGGAAATAAAAAGCAGTATTGATTATGTAAACTCTGAGGGAACTGGGACTCGCTGGTGCTGTGGATCCACAGGTTTTCCACGAGCTGGAGTGAGTGAGCTTCCCAGGCATTGCTGGCCTGGTCTGGGCCCAAGTCCACAAGGTTGGGAAACTGCCGTTTGAGCGGAGGCCCATTCTTGTCCTCTCTGCTTAAACCTTGACCCCTCCATGGGCCAGAGTTGTCACTGTCCCTCCCCCAGGCCTCCCCCGCTCCCAGACACTGGCCCAGTACTTAGCTCTCCTTCGTCCACTTGGAATGCCCTTCCCCACCTTTCTGAAGCTCCTGCCTCTCCCTGCAAGACAGAGCAGCTTCCTTGACTGCCTGTCCCCGTCTTTCCTTTTCGAAATGATGCTGTGTGTGCACACTCCTGTGTCGGGCTGATCTCTGTCAGCTGATGCCCGAGCAGAAGAGGAGCTAGTTTGGCGAAGGTGGGCGGGCTGTGGGGAGAGCTGGGCCTGGGAGCTGCCAGCGCAGCCACTTCCTCACCTTGGCCTCCGTCCCCCAATCCCTTAGCGCCCCGCCCCCCTGCTTCAACCACAGGTTTCAGACTGGCCCACAGAATCTAGACAGCAGTTTTGATTCACTGGCGATTTGCTTCAACAGTTGAGAGAAGAGAACAGTTTTGAGTGGGGGCTGCGCCCATGCTGTCGTCGGTGTTTGCCAGCGCAGACTGTGCAGGAGGGAGACAGAGGAAGCCACCTATTGCCTTTACAAACAATAATTCTAAATGTTTTAAAGTAATAAGGATGGATCACGACTGTTACCAAAAAAAGTAAATTAAAATAAGATTTTACCCCAAGTCTAGATGTGAAAAGTGGGAAGAACTGGGAACGTTTGGCTGAGTTGCTCCCTCCGCCCCTGTCCGGGGCCAGGGCCTGTGCCCCCTGCCCTCCACTCGGATCCACCTCCTCCTGCCTCGTCCTTGCTCTTCAGATCTGCCCTGGTCATGTGGGTTTTCGGCTCTGGGGGTAAAGGTCATCACTTTGTGCTGCCACCTGCTAGGACCCGAGAGTGAGTGTGTGATTGTCTCTCCCTAGGGACCTGCTGGCCCTGAGCGGGCATCTGCGGCAGCCTCCTGGCACGGCCAGGCAGAGCGCATGGCGCCCTTTTCAGGGTGAATGCCAGCCGGCCCAGTGGCACCCTACCCAGTGACGGGCCCCGTAGGGCCCAGGCTGCCTGAGTCGACCGTCTCATGGAGCCTCAGGGCAAGAAGCCGGGCGAGGGCGACGGGGACCGTGTAACGGCCCAGCTGCTGAAGGCACACACGGGCGAGTTTGCCCTGGACTCCATCCTCCTGCTGAAGCTGCGCGGCCTGGGGCTGGTGGACTTGGGCTGCCTGGGCGAGTGCCTGGGCCTGGAGTGGCTGGACCTGTCAGGCAACGCGCTCACCCACCTGGGCCCACTGGCCGCCCTGCGCCAGCTGGCCGTGCTCAACGTCTCCCACAACCGGCTGACCGGGCTGGAGCCCCTGGCTGCCTGCGAGAGCCTGCAGAGCCTCAATGCCGCGGGCAACCTGTTGGCTGGCCCTGGCCAGCTGCAGTGTCTGGTGGGACTGCGGGGCCTCGAGAACCTGCGGCTCCGGGACCCTCTCGCCAGGCTCAGCAACCCCCTGTGCTCCAGCCCCTCCTACCGGGCTATGGTCCGAGAGCTGCTGCCAGGCCTGAAGGTCGTTGACGGGGAGCGCGTGGCGGGCTGCGGCAGCGAGCTCTACCAGCTGTGCCGAGACCTAGACAGCTGCCTGCGGCCGAGCCCCAGCCCCAGCCCGGGCCCCCAGGCCACCGAGGCCCAGCCGTGGGTGGAGCCCGGCTACTGGGAGTCCTGGCCAGTACGGAGCAGCTCCATCCTCGAGGAGGCCTGCCGGCAGTTCCAGGCCACACTGCAGGAGTGCTGGGACCTGGACCGCCAGGCCGACGACAGCCTGCTCCAGGCTGAGCAGGTGCTGAGCCCAGCGGGAGCCCCCTCCTCCTTTGTGTTCTGAGTGCCCCTGGCTGGGGTGCCCCACTCTGGATCTGGCTCTGCCCCTCCTCCTGGCCTGCTCCGGGTCCCGAAACTGGGTTATTCATTAACTGTTCCTAGGAAGGGCCCCTCTCCCCTACGCCCCACTCACTGCCCTCCCTGCTCCCACCTTCCACATGGCCCCCAGCAGGCGTGAGGCTCGCTCAAGCCCACCTGTAGTGCCCTTCAGGGAGGGTCCCGCCTTACTGGGGCTCCTCCAGAGCCTGGGTTCCCACTGCTCAGGCCTGAGACTCTGTGGAAGAAAGTTACTTCTTCCCAAGGCCCATGGTAAGAAAGGTAGGGATGGGTGTGTCTTCCACCCCAGCCATTCCTGGGAGGGAGAAGAACATTCTGGGAAGCTGGAGTCTCCTGCCTTCCAGACTCACTGTGTCTACCTTACCCTGCGTGTCTCTGAAGCCTCTGGGCCCACTCACCCACACCGGTGCCTATTAAATCTTATTTCTGCTCTGTTGTGTTAGCACCTGCCATTTTTTGTGGGCAAGTGAGGTTGTTGCCTCCTGCAGAAAGTGGTTCAGAGCTGTCATTGCTCAGTGGACCCCATGCCTGGCCACAGGGCCAGGCCCAGCCCCTTTACTTTCTGGGGCACCCTTTGGGCAGCTGCCTCCTCATGTGAGAAGGGGTGCCTCTAGGCCCTTCCTCAGGCCCGGGAGCTGCGGGACAGGGAGAGAGGGCAAGGAGCGTAGGGTCACAGCTCAAGGAGGCCAGCTTTATTGTCCGGAACAGGATTGGAGGTGGTACTGGTGACCTCCCGTACTTGTCTGGGGAGTGGGGCTGAATTCTAGAGGAAAAGAGACGGATTTGGGTGTGAGGAGGTTGTCCTGCCCCCAGCCCCAGCTTTCTCTCATCCTCCCTCCCTGCCTCCCCTAGCTTCTTCCCTCCCAAACCCCAGGCCCCGTTGCTGCCCCTTCCTGACTTTGTCCCCACCTCTTACTGGTCCAGGGCTCAGTCAGGGGGCAGGGCCTTGGAGAAGGCGAACTGTCCTGGGAAGTAGTATCTGGGGGGGTCCTCGCCGGCCCGTTCCACCCGGGAGCACTGGGCCTCCTGGTGTTCCTTGGGCTCCTGTGGCATGAGTGGACCGTTCAGGTGAGGGGAGGGTGCCAGCCAGTTCTGCAGCTCCTTCCCCACTCCTAACGGACATCTGGACCAGGCCCCTCCTCCAGGTGTCTAGACCCCTCCCAGAGGCCCAGCTGGGCCCCCCCAGCCCAACAGGCTCTTACCTGAGGAGCCTGTGTCTGGATGGGGCAGTGGATCATCCGGCCCAGAACTCTGTCCTCAGAGCCCAGTTTGATGCAGGCCAGGCATTTCCGCTTCCGCTGGGGAGAAAAGCATGGGAGAGATGAGGGGATAAAGAGGAGGGAGGGCCTGGGCACCACAGATGGAGACTGAGGCAGACTGCCTCCGTGGGGGCGGCTGCAGACACCAGAGGTGCAGCCCCTACCCCACAGGCCCTGAGGGTGTGATGGTCCTGCCGGCCAGCTTTGGGTGCAGCCCCTCAGGACTGGGAGATTTCAGAAGTCAAATGACCCTGCATTTGCATACTGCAGCTTTGGAATTTTAGAGTACCAGGGCAGGTGGATATATGTGCATGTGTGGGTGTGTGTGTGTTCGTGTGGTGTGCGCATATGTAAGGGCCAAAATCCTCCTGGGTGGGCTCAGCCCTCAATGTCCACCAGATCAGCTCTTATCTGTTAGCTTCATTTGCATTATGTTGTCAGACTGGACTTGTATAAAAGGGCTCGGGTGAATTCCAATTCCCTCCTTTAGCAGATGAGCAAACTGAGGCCTTAGAAGAGCCTGCAAAGCTGCAGGGCTGGTGCTGGAGCCCAGGCCTGAGCTAGAACCCAGCAGCAGCAGTCCCAGTACAGGGTGTCTCCATAGCAACTGAGCTGGGTGTCTCCACTTGGACATCACAGAAAACGCCAGGCCTGGCCCAGAGTCCAGGCCAACCTATACGATGGGCTTCTTCAAACAGCTCAGATGGAAGGTGGGCCCCAGCTCTGGCAAAGGTACATCCTTGGGGCAACCCACCCCTCCCCCCTCCTGCCTATCCCTGCCCCAGCCCACCCACAGCCCCAGTCCAGACCGAGCTGGTGCAGCTCTATGGGCTCCTCCACAGGGAGTAACCTCAGTTACACTCAGACCCAAGCACATGTCCCACCTCACACACGTTCACATGCACAGGTGCTCATACGCACAGCTACACACAGACGCGCACACAGCACGTGCACACAGATAACAGTCACGTGGGTGCGCGTGTGCACACAGACACGTGCACAATGCACTCATACACTCACACAGATGCACACACCCACACACACGGAGGCACACATGCACACAGATGTGCGCACACACGCATGTGCACTCACACCGTCCCTCACCCCATTGGACTTGACTTTGCACTCGGGCTTCTTCCAGTCATTCTTCCGACAGTTTGTCTGCTGGAGCTTAAATTCCAGCCTCACAAAGATCCCTGCTGGGAATAGCTGCGGACAGACAGGAAGGCCAGCAAGCAGCCAGCTGGGTGGTCAAAGCAACACCTGGACATGGCTGCCCCCACCTCCCCGGCGAAACCACATCTGCTCAGCGCCCCAAGCACTTGGTGCAGTTTTGCACCCGCCTCCCAAGGATGTCCTGGTCTCCAGGGGTGAGGCCCTAACCCCACGCTTCCCCTCTTCCAGGACTGTCCCGCTACCGTTTCGGTGGCCCTGTCCACGCTGGTTTCCCTGAAGGCCCACTGTACAGGCGGATGCTGGTGGAACTCGGCCAGGGCCACCTGCAGGCCCTGACGCTGTGCCACCGAGAGCTCGGCCCGGCCCAAGTCCAACGTGCCCAAGCACAGGGCGAGCGTGATCAGCAGCGGCTTCATCGCTGGGCCCTGCAAAGGAGGTGGATCCTAAGCCCTCCAGGGCCACGTAGTCCCACGCCCTGCCCTGGAGCCTGCCTGGCGGAGCCGGGCAGAGGTGGAGTAACTGAGGGATGGCCCTTTCCCGGAAACTGCCAGCGGGGTCTCCTGGGTCCCTCTGGGTCCAGCTGCAGCCCAGTGTGGCCCTCTTCTGGGTAGTGGGATGCATCACCCCAAACCCTGTTTCCTGTGGACTGGGAGGTAGCGCTGCGCCCCTCTCCTGGCCCGCTCTCCCCGGTGGGTCCCTGGGCCTTTCTCCTCCTCTGCTGGCCGGCCCTCTCTGCCCCACTTCGGCCTCTGCTCCGGGCTTGCTTCCCGGAGGGTTCCAATTCCCCGCCCCCACGAGGTCCAGGCCGGGCGCCTCGCAGGCTTCCCGGCAGATAGAGGGGAGGGGAGGGGGCGGGGTTAGCCCGGGAGCCTGGCCGGAGATAGAATATTTTGGGGAGGACGTAAACACCTGGGAGGAGGCCGGTGGAGGGGTGGGGGCCGTGAGGACACTTAACTCTCCCGGCGCTGGGGCAGTCCGCGTTCCCCAGCCCTACTCCTGTCCCAAGGAGTGGGCGTCCCGCCTCAGCCCAGCCCTACCTCTGTTCCCAGGAGTGGGGTTTCGCCTTGGCCCAGCCCCAGGCTTCCCTACTGCAGGCACATGCCTCCCCCCTTGCTTTTTCCCTTCCCTCTGCCCTCTCGCAGCCCTTCTCCGGACCACCCACCTCACCCCCTGTAGCCCTTGAGTTGGGGCTGACGGAGGGGTAGACCCTCCCTGACAGCCGGTACCCGCGGTCATAGGACCAGAAAGCCACAGATGCGGGAACTGAAGCCCCGCAAAAGCAAGAGGCTCCCCGACAGTTTGTACGTTTCGCGCCCAGCGCTGCCCCCGCGGCCTCGCGTTCACACCGTCTGTCCGCCGGTCTGTCGGTGCGCTCCCGGCCGTCCGGACTGCTGGAGGTGAATGAAGGCCTCCGCCGGGCCGCCGGCTCCTCCCTCCCGCCCCCAGTCCCACCCTTCACCCTCCTCTCTCCCCATCGCACCCACCTCCCCAGTCCAGCCTCATGACTGGACCGCCCTCCCATCTAAGGAGCCAAAGGATTTCGCGGTCTTGGCCGGAGCCTCTAGTTCGCTGCCCTGCTCCCGGAAGTCTCTTGGTCGCTTAGCTGCCTCCTGGTGGGGCTGCCCTGTTACTTGGCCCCTCTGGGTAGCAGGCCCTGAGATGCTCATTTTAGGAAACAACCCCCAGAGATTCGGCCCCTCAAGCCAGATGACACCTTGTGAAGCCCCTCTCTGCAAGCCCCTCTCCCTGCCTCCCACGCTGCAGCCAGACTGAGGTTTCTCTTCAGGGATGAACACGGGTGTCTAACAGCCTGACAAAAAAGCTTTGCTTTTGTCCAGTGTTGATCCCGAAGGCTACTCTTCCCGACCAGTCACTCTGGTCACCGCCTCCTGGGCAACAGGAAGACTCAAGAGTCGCAATTTGAGGTGTGTCCAGCCTAGAGAACAGACAACAGGGCAGTGGAATTCGTAAGGCAAGTGGGGAGTCAGAGAAAACAGTGTCCAAATGTTGACTCACCTCTGGGGTACATTTGAGCCAATATAAACGAGCTCTGGGATTCTGCATAAGAGGACCAGCAACAACATTTATTTAGTTCTAGATAAATGTGATCATCTGAAATGATTATCTCCTTTAACTTAGTGAATCCTTCTGAACTTCTGTTCCCTTATCTGTAAAATGGGGACAATAAACCCTATCCTAAGGGGTTGTTTTGAGGACTAAATGAGAAACTGTATGAAAAGTGACTGACTGGCCCAGTGTTTCGCAGTAGATTCTCTTCCCTTCCCTAGTCACCCCCCTGCCAGGATTCTTCACATCTTTCGAGCTGAGAGCTTCCTTTACAATGTGATCTGAGGGACCAGAAAGATCTTTGGTTTCAAATAGCCTGTCTCTGGCACCTGAAATCCCACTATTTGCATTTCATTGTTGTTGTTAGGTGACGTGAAGCGACCCTGTGCACTATGGAATGAAACACTGCCCCGTCCTGCGCCATCCTCACAACTGTTGTTATGCTTGAGCCCATTGTTGCAGCCACTGTGTCAGTCCATCTCGTTCAGGGTCTTCCTCTTTTTCACTGACTCTGTACTTTACCAAGCATGATGTCCTTCTCCAGGGACTGACTCCTCCTGACAACATGTCCGAAGTATATAGGACGTAGTCTCACCATCCTTGCTTCTAAGGAGCATTCTGTGTTATTTCTTCCAAGACAGATTTTGTTCATTCTTTTGTTACTTCTGTGGTATTATTCAATATCCTTTGCCAATACCACAATTCAAAGGCGTCAATTCTTCTTTGGTCTTCCTTATTTGTTGTCCAGCTTTCACATGCATATGTTGTGATTGAAAACACCATGGCTTGGGTTAGGCGCACTTTAGTCTTCAAGGTGACATCTTTGCTTTTCAACACTTTAAAGAGGTCTTTTGTAGCAGATTTGCCCAGCGCAATGTGTCTTTTGATTTCTTGACTGCTGCTTCTGTGAGTGTTGATTGTGGATCCAAGTTGATTGTCCATTCCATTGGCTATGAGTTATTCAACTATCATTAAGCAGAGAAAAAGGATGTGGTGGTCCTCGTTGTCCTGAAGCTTTAGGTGGGGTTAGAGAGACAAGATGCAAACACAAAGAAGACATTCCACAGCTCAAAGCCCCCGTGATGGTTAATTTTATGTGTCAACTTGGCTAGGCTTTGGTTCACAGTTATTTGGCTAAACACTAGTCTAGTTGATGTCATAGTAGTTACATGTGATTAGATCAGCTGGCCTGGGGTAGAGCAGATTACCTTCCATACTATAAACCTGTTACTGTTGAGTCAATTCCAACTCTATAGTGACCCTATAGGACAGAGTAGAACTGCCCCATAGGGTTTCCAAGGCTGTAATCTTTACGGAAGCAGACTGCCATATCTTTCTCCCATGGAGCAGCTGGTGGGTTCGAACCACTGATCAATCAATTAGCAGCTGAGCCCACCAGGGCTTCTTTCCATACTATATTGTTGTTGTTGTTAGGTGCCGTCAAGTCGATTCTGACTCATAACAACCCTTCCATATTATAATGTAATGTAATTACCTTACATGTAATGTAATGTAATCACGTTCCATAATGTAATCTAGTGTAATGTAATCAATCAGTTGAGGTCATACCAGTGTGTGATGGATCCTAAACTTAATCACTTTTGAGTTATAAAAACACCAGTATAAACACAGGGAAAGACAGATGACATGTGAGGATCATTTTCAAGCAAAGGAACACCAAGGCTCACCAGCAGAAACTAGAAATTAGGAGAGAGGCTCACAGAAGGAATCAACACGGCCAAGACCGTGATTTGGACTTTTAGCTTCCAGAACTATGAGAAAATAAATTTCTGTTCTTTAAAGCCACCTGCTGTGGTATTTGTATTACAGCAGCACTAGGAAACAAAGATAGCTCCATCCTGAGTGACTTCCTAGGTAAGCAGTGAGAATTTTCAGAACAAGGTGGGACTTAAGCTGAATAAAGCAGGGAAGTCATCCTGACACTAAAGGGGATGGGAGGAAGGCTGTGTGAGTCTTGCGGTGAGGAAGTGGGGCTAGGAGCAGGGCGATGGGAGTAGGTGAGGAAGGAGTTGTCTGTCTGTAGTGGAATGGTCATAAGACCAAGTGGAAGAATCATGTCTTGTTTGGTATCATATCCTCAGGTCCTAAGAGCTGCCTTAATTGTAGGCAGTAAGTAAATATAAGGGTCCCTGAATGTTGCAAATGGTTTGCACTCGGCCAGTAACTGAAAGGTTGGTAGTTCAAACCCACCCAGTGGTACTGCAGAAAAAAAAACCTGATGATCCGCTTCCGTAAAGATTGTTGTTGTTGTTGTCAGGTGTCATCGAGTCGGTTAAGACTCATAGCAACCTTATGCACAACACAACGAATCACTGCCCAGTCCTGTGCCATCCTCACAATCGTTGTCATGCTTGAGCACATTGTTGCAACCACTGTGTCAATCCATCTTGTTGAAGGTCTTCCTCTTTTTCACTGGCCCTCTACCAAGCTTGATGTCCTTTTCCAGGGACTGATCCCTCCTGATAACATATCCAAAGTATTTGAGATGTAGTCTCGCCATCCTTGCTTCTAAGGAGCATTCTGGTTGTACTTCTTCCAAGACAGATTTGTTCATTCTTTTGGCAGTCCATGGTATATTCAACACTCTTCTTCAACACCACAATTCAAAGGTGTCAATTCTTCTTCATTCATTGTCCAGCTTTCATATGCATATGAGGCGACTGCAAACACCATGGCTTGGGTTGGGTGCACCTTAGGTGATATCTTTGCTTTTCAACACTTTAAAGAGGTCTTTTGCAGCAGATTTGCTCAATGCAATGTGTCTTTTGATTTCTTGACTGCTGCTTCCATGGGTTTGGATTGTGGATCCAAGTTAAATGAAATTCTTGACAACTTCAATCTTTTCTCCGTTTATCATGATGTTGCTTATTGATCCAGTTGTGAAGATTTTTGTTTTCTTTATGTTCAGTTGCAATCCATACTGAAGGCTATGGTCTTTGATCTTCATCAGTAAGTGCTTTAAGTCCTCTTCACTTTCAGCAAGCAAGGTTGTGTCATCTGCATATTGCAGGTTGTTAGTGAGTCTTCCACCAATCCTGATGCCATGTTCTTCTCCATGTAGTCCAGCTTTTTGGGTTTATTTGCTCAGCATACAGATTGAATAAGAACGGTGAAAGGATACAACCCTGATACACACCTTTCCTGACTTTAAACCATGCGGTATCCCCTTGTTCTGTTTGAATGACTGCCTCTTGGTCTATGTACAGGTTCCTCATGAGCACAATTAGGTGTTCTGGAATTCCCATTCTTTGCAATGTTATCCATAATTTGTTACGATCCATACAGTCAAATACCTTTGCGTAGTCAGTAAAACACAGGTAAAGATTTT